GAAAATTAGAAAAAAGCCAGGAAAATAACGAATGAAAGGGTTTTTTTTTTCCTTAAGAACCAACTGCTTTTATTAAAAAAGAGCAAAAAAAAGAACCTTTTCAAAAAATAAATAAATAAATATAAAAATCTATCTTTTTCTCCAGAAAAAAAATAAAATTACAGCATATAGATCTTGCATTTTTTTTTTCCTGGAAAAACACTAAAACTTATCATTAGAATTTTAGCTCAAAAACAACAACAAAAAAACCACAACCAAAAAGTTAAGTGAAATAACGAGGAGAAGTGCACTTTTTTGGTTTTCTTAGAAAGTGAGGAAAAAGGGATTTTTCCATGAAAATTAATGAGGTGCTCATGAAAAATAAAAAAGAAGATTCCAAAGGCTTTTGGATTAAAAAAAAAAAAAATTAAAAGGGTTTTTTTGGTTAAAAAAATAAATCTGCAGCTGACAGGTTGTTGGAGAAAATGTAAAATGAGGGAAGAGGGGAATTTTCAGGCAAAAACAAGCCCAGGGATTCAGTATTTAATTTTCTGTGCTACAAAGCCTGGAAATAAGTACAAAACCCAGGAAATTTGGGGATCTTGTTTGTTTTGCTCACCAAAGAAGGGAAGGAGGAACCACCAGATCCCATCTTCTGCCATCCCTGTGAAAAACACCCAAAATCACTAAAAATTGTTATTTTATGGGAAAAATCCATGTGAGCCCTGAGGCATGTCCAAAAGCCTCAGATAACCCCAAATCACCCCAAAATGCCTATTTTCCTCCCATGGAAAAACCTCTTGGGGCTTATTTTGGCCCCCACTGCCCCCAAACCCACCCCAAACATTCCAAACTCTATTTTGTCCAGAACTCCCCAAATTTAGACCAAAATAGTTTTTCTTCCCAAATTCCCCGATTTTGGTTAAAACTATTTTTCCCCCAATCCATCCCCCTTTCCCTTTTCAGTCAAAATGTAATTGAACAGCTGAGACAACCATCCCTCCCTCCCATTCTCCTCCCCCTCCCGGCAACCTGAGGCCGTATCAGTCTCCATCTCTATCAGATTCATTTCCAAACCAGATGCATTTAACCCAAATCACCTCGATTCACATCAAAATGAGGTTTAAATGCTGACAAAGCCCTCCTGTCCACCTCTCCTGTTGATGCCACCTCAGTACCCCATTTCCACCAAATCCACAGTAAAACATCATGGAAAGGATGAATTTTTCCCCAAATCCTCCCAGTTTTGGTCAAAATGTGTCTTTTTTTGCCCAGTATTCCCCAAATATGGATCAAAATGGGGCTCAACATCCAGGAAAACCTTTCACTCACCTTGTCCCGCACAAACCCTCCCAAATGCTCAATTTGGCCTCAAAAAAGAGGGGAAAAAAAAACCCTCACCAAATTTTGGGCATGATGAGGTCAAAAAATCTGAAATTTGGGGGAAAGGTGCACAAAAAGGGCAAGTCCCGGAGACTTGGGTGGAAAAAATGTGTTTAAAACCCAACATTTTAGAAGAAAAAGGGTTTAAATTATTAAACTTGTGGGGGAAAGGAGGCAAAAGCCATAAAATTGGGGAACAGAAAGGGTAAAAAAACCTGAAATTTGGGCAGAAAAAATCCTCAATTTCTGCCAATCCCCCAAAAATAAGGAAAGCCAGGAATAAAGAAGGAATAAAGAAGGAATAAAGCCTCTCCATTCTTCCCCACTCACCAGCCCCTTGGCTCTTCAACTCCCGGGACCTCGCAGACATGGAATGTTTATCCAAAAGTCACTCTTTTTGTACTCAAATAAATATACCCAAGCCACAGCCAAAGCAGATTTGGGCAGATTCAGCAGAATTTCAGAATGAGGGGTGGGGAGGAGGGGCCAGGGGGGCATGACCCACAGTTGCAGAGAATTTGGGAACTGGCAGCTGGATCCTGTCACCAATAGGATGTGACAGGAGTGGAACCCACAGGGACACTGTGACAGGTGTGGGACCCACAGGGATGTCACAACAGATGTGGGATCCATGGGGATCATCCCAAATTCCCTAAATTCCCAGAAACACTGTCCCCATGATACCCTCTGCCCCCACAACCCTACGGGAAGGACAGACCAAATCTAGATGGTTTTTACCCAAAATTAATGACCCGAGTCCCAGCAGGGAATTCCGTGGAATGGGAAATTCTGGCCCAAATGACTGAAAAAGCTGAAGAAAATCAGCTGGAGCCAGGAGAGATGATGGCAAACCTGGAGTAAGAGGGCTTTTGCCTTAAAATGAAGACATAAAAATGGGGAAACCCTGAACCCCACAGAGATCCTCAAAACTGTCCAGAAACAGAGACACCCTCCACCACCACCACATCCAGGGACCTCCAAAGCCACATGGGGATTCCCCCCAAATTACCCAGGGATCCCCTAAGCCCTCTGACCCTCCCAAGCCACAAGGTCCCTGTGGGAAGATGTGGGTCCGTGGGGGGTGTTGGGGGTCCCTGGAAGACTTTTGGGGTTCCTGGTAAATGACATGGAGAAATTTTCAGCTGCCCTGAAGGTGCTGGATGGAGCTGCTATAAATGAAATTAGGATTTTGACAACTATGTCCCTTGAGTTACTAACAGTTTAATTAAAAATTAATACAATTTAGTAAATTGAATAGTAATCTGGTATGAAAGAATAACACAGTTTAGTAAAACAATACAATTTGGTAAAAATTACAATTTCTATATATATAATTTGCCAGTAATTAAGTATGATTAAAGCATAAGCAAAACCAACCGGGGTGCAGGGAGGGCTTGTTACCCCACCTCACATACAGAACTGACCGGGGTACGGAGGCTTCCCACCCTGCCTCACGTACAAAACAAAGCACTTCAAGCTAAACTTGTATATTGTATGCTTATACATATTCATTCATGTTTCCCATATGTTTCCTCCTATTTCTGATTTTTCTGACTTTACGTCACTTTTTTTCACAGCACATGCCTCACTTGTTGTTAGGGGGTCTTCAATCTTCTTTTGAGGTCTTTTGGTGAAGGCTTCTCCTCTTCCTCGTTGTCCTTTGGATAACCTTTCTAGTTTGTGTGTGCGTACTAAGCGTTGTGTTATGTGAGTCTACTCATTAGTCTGATATTTACTGATTTTTAGGCCCAATGCCTAAAGTTGTTCTAATTTTGTCCATCTCAAGGCTGTTCTCGCCCTGGAACACCACTTATCTTCCAAACTACATCCTGTACCTCAATTTTAACATGTAACACCTGTGAAGGGCTGTATCTGCGTTGTAACACTGATTCTTTTGGTTGCTTCTAATAATAACTTTCCAAATAGTTACAATTTAGTTAGCAGGAATCAATTCCATTTATTACAGTCACCTGTAATATGGAAGCATTCTGTGAATATGATTACCATGGTCCCTCCAGGACCATAGCCTGTTCTAAAGTTGCACCACGCACACCAGATTAAAGGAGAAATCCTTCTGTGTGTCCCGCGCAGATAAAGAATGCCTGCTTTCTAACGCTTCAAATTGTGTTAGAAAGTTTGTTTTTCAGCCAATTTACTATCTTTCCCTTGGACAGGCTTACGGATCTAAGGGGAGCTGATAAGAGTCCCGTCGGGGCCTGGGGGTCCCTGGGATGGTTTGGCGTTTCTAGGGGGGAGATTTGGGGAGTCCACGGGGGAGACTGGGGTTCTCTTGTCAGCGGGATCCCAGCTCTCTGCCACTTTAACCACCCCAAGGACCTCCCAAACCACATGGGGACCTCCCCGGCCCACCTGCGCCGCCAAACCCCCTCTGTGACGCCGAGAACCGCACCAACCTCTCCGCCCTTCAAACCTTTCCCTGGCGATCCCAACCAACCTCTCTGGGACCCTCAAAACCACCCCCAAAACTTCCTGGGCAGCTCTCAGCGCCCCCAGACCCGCAAACCCCTCCAAGGACCCCCATATATACTCCGGGGACCCCCTCAGTGCCTCTAGAGCCCCCGAACCCCCGGGAATCCCCAAAACCCTCCCAGGCACCCCACCCCTCCGCAGCCGCGCGCGGCGCTTCCCGCCTTCCCCCTCCCCCGCCTCCCATTGGCCGCAGAGCCCGCCCGTAACCGCTCTTAACCAATCAGCGCCGGGCTCGGAGCGCTGGGGCGGAAGCAAAGGAGAGTGTGTGCGATGGAGCGGGTGAGGCCTGAGGGGTCCGGAGGGGATCGAGGGGGGGCATTTGGGGGATCCCGGAGTGGAATTTGTGGGGGTTCGGCGGGGCCTGGCGTCACTCCCCCCCTCCTCCCCGCAGAGGCTCAGCCTGGAGCAGCGAACGGAGCGTCTGGTGCAAAGGAGGTTTGAGAGCAGCCCGGCCTCAAGTGCCCCTCGGGATCCCCGAGTGCCCCCTGGGGACCCCAGTCTGCTCCCCCGTTCCCTCAGAGTTGTCCCGGAATCCAAGTCCAAGCTCTCCAGAGCCCCAAATGTCGCCCCAGGCCCCTACGTGCCTCCCAATTACCTCCCCTTCCCCGGTGTTCCCCTATAACGCCTCGGGGACCTCCAACTCGATCCCACCGGATCCCAGTCTGCCCATAAGTGCGTCCCGCAGTCGCTCAAATTCCTCCCGAGACCACCAGCCCCGCGGGGGGCAGTGCAGGGTCAGCATTTCAGGGGTCCTCGCCCCATCCCCAACCCTCTCCTCCCCCCCAGCCAGGCCCTGCTCGGGCCCCGCCCCCGCGAGCCAGAGAGGGCGAAGCCTCCGCTTGGCTCAGCCCCCTGCAGCTCCACCCTCGATGACCCCCTGGAACGATGGCGCTTGAGGCGGTGCCGTGGGGAGGAGACAGCGCTGGACACGCCCCTGGTAGGCGGGGCCCTGCTGGGCTCTTCTGCTCCCCAGGGTGCCCTGCCGGGAGTGCCACAGGGCCGGTCACGTGACCCGCCGGGGGGCCTGCGGGGGGCCGTGCCATGGGAATCACGTGACCCCCCTGAGGCCCTTTGGCCAATCAGGAGACACTTCCGCGAGCACCAGGCGGTGCCTTCACCCCAGGCCGTCTCCCAGGAAGCCTTATGGCAGGAGCCCTGTTGGAGGTCACATGACTCCCACAAGGCCCTCTGGCCAATGAGGAGCACTTCTCCGGATACCCTGCGGGGGGCACTATACTCACAGTCCCGTGACGCCCACGAGGCCCCGTGGCAAATCAGCAGCAGCTGCTGTGCATCTGTGCACCAGGGGGCGCCACCCGGTGGGAAGCGAGGGTCCCACGAACCTTTGCGGCAGGAGCCATTTTGGGGGTCACATGACTGCCTCGGGCATCTGCAGTGTGCGCCCTGGTGGGAGTCACGTGACTCCCAGGGCGCCCCGCCGTCTGCACCGGAGGCACTTCCTGAGCCCCTGCGCCGGGGAGGGCCGGGCTTCAGGTCACGTGACCCGTGTGAGGCCCCTCAGCCAATCAGGAGCAGTGCTCATGATGCCCTACAGGAGGCGCCGGTGCAGGAGCCACTGGGTGAGGCACCAGAGGAGCCCTTGTGGGCAAGGGAGTCACTTGAGGGCTGGTGGGAATTTGTGGGCCAGGCGGGGTCACTGGTGGGGCTGGAGATGTCCTTGTGGGGGGGGGGGGGGGAACAGCTGTGGGCCAGGGGTCACTTGAGGGGCTGAAGGGGCACTTGTGGGTTAGGGAGGCACTTCTGGCTCAGGAAGTCCCTTGTGGGGCTGGGGGAACACTTGTGGGACTGTCACCCCCTGTGACATGTAGCCCCCCCCCCCCCCCCCAGGCCCTCTGGGGGACCCCCTCCTCTGGATGCTGCGATGCCACCGCCGGGTGATAACCGGACGCCTTCGGTAGGACACCTCTGCCCTCAAACTTCAAGGGTCTGCCCCTGCGCGTCCCCCAGGTCCCCCTAATTCCTGCTTTGCTCTCCATTCTCCCCCCCAGGGCCATTGAGACCCTCCTGGAATGCCCACCTGGGCACCCCCAACCCATGGTGGGGCCAATAAAGCAGTAACACCCCAAAATTGCAGCAGGGAGGTGTGGAGACCTCCCAGATCCCCTCCCTTACCTCCCCCACTTTTGGGATTGCCCCCAATCTCCTGTCTCCCATAAGTCTCCAGGAGCATTTAGGGGACTCTGGGGGCTCAAAAGAGGGTGTTGCCGGGGTGCTGGGTGTCTCCAGGGGGTCCGTGAGGGTCTGTGGGGTGTTTGGAGGGGCTTTGGGGCTGCAGAAGGGGTTTGGGGGGTGTATGGGGAGCACTGGAAATCGTGAGTGGGTGGGGGGGGGGGCACTGGGTGTCTATCGGGGGTTCAGAAGAGGTCTGTGGGATTTGGGGGGGGGACTCCAGGGGTGTTGGGATGGGTCTGTGGAAGAAGGGGTTTGGAGGGCCCAGGAAAGGTTGGGGGGCGTTCGTGGGACTAGGGGCGCCTGAGGGGGGGTTATTGGGCCTACTGGGACGGGGAATCACCAAACCGGGGGGGGGGGGGGGGGGCTCGCCGGG